TATGACGCAAAAAAAACAACTGATTTGATGTTAGCAAGTAACGAAAAAATTATCAAGCTTGTCACACTGGTACTTCGTTACTCCAACGATGAAAGACCTTTTCCAATCCGTCAGGCAGTTTCGGAGCCTATTCAACTCAAACAACCAAATATTTCCTTTTCATAATATTAGTATAGATAATATTATATAATTTCAAATATATCGTGTATAATGATAAAACACACCCTTCTGATCCCACCAAACACAAAGTATTGTCTTCTTACCGAATCGATCTGTTTTTGCAATCGATGTTGATGGTTTCCGCGGATTAACCCATGATTTTCTCCGTTTAAGATTCTTAAAATAAATCCATTTTTCATCGCCAGTGACAATTCAAAAAATTCAAATTGATTTTCTTTCGTGTCTTTGAAGCTAACTTTTACAAGTGTTTTTTCGGTTTTCCATTTGTCTTTGTCAATATTGATTGCACCTCGCCGTTTTCAAAGTTTTTCGATGGGTTTTCACGTTCTTCATTTCTCACATCAAAATAATTTTTTCTGAACCGTTGAAATTATCTTTTGCATGTTGCTTCTGATAGAGCATGCTCACTATATGCGTCGGCATGCTTTCGATGCGACTCTGCAGCACTTTTCTTCAAATGGAAACAAAGACTTAATACTTTTCGCAAATCATAACTTTCCGATACAAAATTTGATATTTTCAACACAATGAAGAAGTAAGGTTATTGAATATATTTGACAAATGTCATGTCAACCAAACAGAAAAAAAATTAAGGCTCGTTCACAACAAATGTTCCCTACCAACACATTTGTATCTTAACGCTCATAACCTGTTGTGTATATACAACATTATACGTTTAGTTAATTTTGCTAAGATATCTTACAACTGGACCAATTAGATCAGGTTAGATAATTTATTAAAACAAAAAAAAATATCATAGTAGATTGAAACCCATCCGAAACGAAAGGTAAAACAACAAACATTAAGAGTAACACTAATTTACGGGTGACCTGTGGTCGTGAAAAGAAAGATTTTAAAGGTTAAAAACAGTTTATCTCGATTTCCGGCAAAACTACGTGACCAATAGAATTAATATATATGGCAATGTTGTAGGTAATGATCTATAACCTTTGAAACTATAAATTTTTCTCAAACTCAAATTTATGTGAAAGCCTCAAATAAACAAGCTTGTGGGTTTTTTTATTTTTATCTTGTACAATATTTTTTACTTCGACGGACTTTCGTGAAACTTACCTTTCTGTGTCCCAAACATACTGTATTTTTATATTCCTGCAACATGTTGCTATAGAGGCTAAACACCCTACGGTTGTTTGCATCACCTAAAACTAATAATAATAGTATATACATATAAATGATCACTCTGATGAGACGAGTTGAAATTAGAGTGAGCGTCCTTCCGAGCTCAGTCATCGCAGGTTTGAAATTTTTTAAAAAGTAAACATAGCTCCGCCCGCTAATAGGTTTTGTATATATATATCTCCCAAACCATTAAAGCTGTATTACCCAAATTTGCACAGAACAAATTATTTCGACATCTCTTACGACATTGTGAAAAAAGGTGAAATGGGATGACCACACCCATTCCCCTTATAACAGTTTTGTTAAAAACTACTAAAAGAGTGGTAATTCAAAAGCTAAATGAGTCAGAGACATAACATTTTACATCCAAAATGGCACGAGAGGGCTTTATAAGAACAAATGTCAAAATTGCACCGATCCCATTGCGGTGAAATCAACTACCTCCGGACTTAATCCACCAATTTTAGCTAAATTTGGTACATTGGATTATTTTGTCATTCCCATGTTACAGTTCGAAAATGGGCGACTGCAACCACGACTACTTTTCATATATCACAACTTTAAATTCAACTTTTCAGTATACAAATCAAGCACCAATTAATATTATATATTGGAATAAAACTTTGCACAATTGGTGCCTTTATCAAAATCGTATGTGAAGTACCTTATAATGGGGTATACGGAACTAAAGGCAGATCTTATTGTATTAACTTTTGGTATTACTCAAGTATACTCCAAAACATTCTTTCACTCAATTTTAGGAAGATAGGTCACTCGCTGATCGCCATATTCGGTATGAATACCGCTAGAATAACAAAAAACTTTTTATGCAGTATATGGAAAATGGGGTAAACTGACATTAACGAGTCAACCATAAGCACTGGGGTCTACATATCCAATATTTGTAGGCGTGAAAAGTTATGGACCGATTTTGATCATTTTTAGACGTGATAGCAAGTTTATCACATATCTCAATTTTTACTCAAGTTATCGCTTAACAGAACTTAGGTACGGACTCAGCTACGCGGAATTCTACTCGCCTCGTCATCTTAAACAATTATATACGTATATATGTGTTACAAAAATTATTAAACTCTGTGACAAAATGCTACATAGTATATAAATATAGTTAGGGTAGTATATGATACAAATCTCAAAAATGAAAGTTCAGATTTTGGCTTTTTAATAATTAAAGAATACCGTTTGTAAGCTCAAGGATGATAGCTTGAACTTTTGGTAATTAACGGGTTATCCAAGTAGTTTTTTCATACCACACGTGAGTCGTGTCAAGCAGTCATTTTATTGTTGTTCAGTATTGTTTGAACAACGTTTACAAATCGTTCAACTTTATTACGAAAATTCACGTTCTGTAAAGAATGTGTTTCGCGCGCTTCGCTCAACTTATGGTCAACATAATCGACCTACTGAGCGTACTATACGCAACACCATCATCCATCTTGGGACCCAGCATTCATTATTGGATAATATTCGACCGAATAAATCGAACGTCCAGCACGCAGTGAAGAAAATAGTGGAGAGCCGATTCGGCGCCGTTCTCAGCAACTCGGACTGACGTATGGACGGGTTGGCCAATTTTACAACGACATCATAACCGCTCGACCTTCCCAAGCGGCATCGCATCGCTCTATGGACTCCTGAAAATTTGTATGTAAACAAGCAAAATTTTCGCATTTGGGACGAAGAGCAACCTGAAGAGATTCAAGAGCTGCCATTTCATCTAGAAAAAACAACGGTTTGGTGTGGTTTGTGGGCCGGTGGAATCATCGGTCAATATTTCTTCAAAAATGGTGCTTGTGAGAATGTAACCGTCAATGGCGAACGTTATCTATTTGATGCCTGGAATTGAAGCTCCTGATTTCGGCTACATTTGGTTTACACAAGACGCACCACTTCCCACACATTGAATCAATCAATGGATTTATTGAGAGAATACTTCGATGAGCAGATAATTTCACGTTTTGTGCCGGTCGATTGGCCAAGTGTGATATCACACCTTTAGACTCTTACTTGTAGGAATATGTAAAGTCTAAAGTCAATGCGGAAAACTCGGATTCAAGCATGGAGTAAGACATCAGGCGTGTCATTCGCCAATTACCATTCGAAATGCTCGTACGAGTCACCGAAATTGAACTGAACAGATGGACAACCTGAGAAGTAGCCGCGGCCAATGTCTGAAAGAGATAATCTTTGAAAAATAAATGCCAAAGAATGTTCTTTTGAATGATAATAAACATTCCCCATTAAATTTGAATTTTCTGTTATTTTTTCTTTAAAAAAGTAGGGAATTGCGAATGGATAACAGATAGGAAAATAAATACAATTGTATACAAATAAGGACTTAGTTTGGGCAAAGTAAAGATATAATGCATTTTCGATACTAAATCACACTGTTATAAGTAGAAAAATTTTACGCATATTTACGTATATAAAACGAATTCGGACGTTGGAATAAAAGGCAATATATTAAAGCCAGGGTTCAGGGTTAGCTGGAGTGGAATAAACTTTAACTTTGGAATAAACAACGTCTTACCGATTTATTCTAATTAGTGCAGCATTGAGATAGGGCAGATGACTGTTGGTTCGAAGATCGAAATTTCTAACAATTTTTACTGTTTAGAATATCCAAAAATAAAGTGAAGTTCATTGAAAGGTTCATATCCCTTAAATCTGTCTCGCATATTGATGGTTAATTTGCACATAAATGATAACCGTTGCTGCGGCAATAAACAAGGCTGTTAAAATGACGTAAAACACGCATTGCATTTTAAAGTCAAGTGGACCAACAACTGGGCCCCTCCTCCGCATGCAGACACAGCGGCTTTGCCAAAGCAAGTGCCACATAATATTCGCGTGTCCAACTGTATGTCAGTATGTACATATTTGCAGTGTCTGTGCGCTAGTTAGCCATTTGCTGGTAATATTGCAAGCTTCTATAAGTGCATTTCTTGGCCATGCGAAGGCAGCATCGCCTGTGACGTGAAGCGTGAGGCTGGAAAAACATGTTCCGAGCAATGCGATTGTATGTTTGCCGCGGATTTTGATATGATTTTCCGTGGAAATTGTTATCTCACTAATGCAGCGTGTAAACGATGAATTCGCCAACTCCACCGTCCGCCTTCCAGTGAACAATCATTAAGTACATGTGGACCACACGATGGCCAGTGGACTCATTAAGAGGCAGAAATGTAACAAACGCATGAAATGTGTGCCACAGAAACTGCTCGTATGTAGCTCGATGCGCAACTAAGCGCATTCACATTTGCCACATTAACTGGACACTCATGCAACACTTTCCATTTTAATTGAAATCTTTTTATAATTTTATACGAATAAGAGCAAATACATACATACACATATGGGCCAGACTTGTCACATATTTGATGGGGCGTCGCGCATTGCGTGCGCCCATTTTTGGAGACGATTGTCTAATAGCTTTCAACTTAATGATTTGTCGCCTATAAAACTGCTGAGCAGTCAACGGATTAATCACAGTGATCTGAAGTGATCTAAACGAACTGGTACTAGTATCATACAGTTGGTCAATACGCAATTAAATAAATTCGATATATTTGTGATATTAACAGTGTCCTGCTGTGCACTACCCATTAAATAAATAAATAATCAACCCACGCACGTACAAAGCTCTTACTACACGCAACATGTTCAAATCGGTAAGTTACCACATGCAAGCTTTTTTAAAAGCAAAGTAACTCAATGCATTTGACGTTTATTCGAACGTTCCACAGTTGGTTCTCAGCTTGGCACTGCTCGCTTGTGCACATAATGCGCTCGCAGGATTTCTCGGCGGCTATGGCTTGGGCCACGACTATGGTCACTATGGAGGACATGGACTCTACGGCGGCTACGGCGGCTACGGTGGCTATGGCCACTATGGTGGTTATGGTGGTTATGGCCACTATGATCACGGCTATGCGGCACCCATCATTACCAAGACGATCGCAGCAGCGCCGGTAATTACGAAAATTCACGCCGCACCCATCATCACGAAAACCATAGCGGCGCCAATAGTCACAAAGACCATCGCCGCGCCCATATCAATTGGACATGGCTATGGCTACGGACATGGCTACGGCTTGGGCCATGGCTATGGCTTGGGACACGGCTTGTATGGTGGTCATGGTGTCTACGGAGGGCATGGATACTATGGAGGACATGGTTATGGCTATGGACATGGCTGGTAGATGCGAAGTAGAATGTTGTGTGTTTCAAGTAAGCAGGCAAACGAAAATAACTGTACTGTGCTGGTTTGCCTAAGGGGTATTCACAGTGTAGTACGCATTAATAATATAGACATATATGCTGTTAAGACGTGGCGATGGTGGCCAAGCCTCATTAATTATGCACTTATATTGTAATCTGAGCAGCGCTAATTTAAAAGACTGCAAAATCTTGTACGTGTTTGTACTTAATAATCAATTTATTGCATATTCTAGTGTGTGTTCATTTATTGTTGTATTGATTACTTAATGCTTGCCTATGTAATGCAAATGTCAAATGCCAAAAACCAAAATAAAATATGAATTATTATACAACCAAAGTCACGTGTGAATTATGTGTGAACCGAAATTGTTCATTTTCTTGAGGAAATAGATGTTGCATCACTACAGGTTTATAATTATTTCAACATATCTTGGTTTCTATTTGTGTTCCAAACAGAAAAAATTCCATTTAATATATACCAATTCGATTCAAGGAATGACAACTTCACAAGTTTATTATCTTTATCGGCTTCCAGGTTTGCTCCAGATAATTTAAAGCCTTCTGTTTTCTCGACATACATAGATGAAGTGAACGAGATTCTGCAGTAATACCGTCTTCAACCGGCCACTTTTTTTCTCGTTTTATATGAGCTTTGCTTGCTTATGAATTGGTGTTTCAATAAAGAGGTATAACCTCTCTATTAGGTTACATCAGTATATATTATTTACGCCAGTTGTTTGCGCGTTCAAGTTTTAGTGAAAAAACCAAATAACTTCATGAGTGACAAAGTTTTATCAAATATCAGCCACAACCAATTAAAATGCCAAAACCTCATTAAAACGAAGCTATAATACCCTTTATAGATACATTTTAATAGCATCAAAAGGTATAAAAAGATTTCTTTCCTGATTTCGATCGATCAGTTTATATAGCAGCTATATGCTATAGTGATCCGATCTGCATAATTTCTTCGGATATTGTAGCGACGCTTGAGGTAAGGATATATATATGGAATAGTCGTCTGATCTGAACAATTTAACCTGAGATTGTAGCAATGTCTTAGACAATAATCTACGCCAAATTTCGCGAAGATATCTTGCCAAATTGAAGGACTTGGATCGGTCAGTTTGTATGGCAGCTATAAGTTATAGTTGTCCGATATTGGCGGTTCTGATAAATAAGCAGCTTCTTGGTGAGAAAAAGACGTGTACAAAATTTCAGGTCGTTCTGCTAAATACGCAAAATATGTTCGGGTATGTTTATTATACAAGTATACCATATTTAACACCTGCCAAGTGATTTGTTCTCAGTTTGGTTCAACAATTTATCATGAATAGACTCACTCCTGATCAACGCTTGCAAATAGTGCAATTTTATTTCAAAAATAATGGTTCCGTGCGGAATATGGATCGCGCACTACGTTTATTGTATTTGTTTAACGATGAAGCGGACTTCTGTTTGAATGGCTACGTCAACAAACAAAACTGCCGCATTTGGAGTGAAGATAGTCCTTAAGTTATTTCATTGTAATTTAAAGTTCTATACCTCTAAAAAACACCCTTTATATGTAGAAATATATTTGTACTAGTAATTCATCAAGTAGCAGATAATCTAATACCAGGTGGATTAAATTATGCAATCTAGAACTTATGCAAAAATATAGTGGAGAAAGTTTAAAAATTAATTGATTTGTATAAGGTCTCTCCGGTAAGTACTTAGCATTACTTTTGAAAAGAAATCGTGCAGGGAAATCAAAGAGGGCCTGGAGGTACGGTAACTGTTCTCCTTCGTTAGCAATCGATAATATTTCGGTTGTTGATGATCAACCCCTAGACACCCCAGCTACCACGGAGGCCTAAGTGCCAAAAGTCTATAATCTCGCATTGACAATCCGCCGATTGAAGTTACATGAGACAGCTGAGGTAAAAGGCATCTCAATATTGGGAAAGCTGTCGGCGAGATTGGTACCGCTTTTGCTTTACAAGAGCGACCGTAACATCACTTAATTGAAGCTATTTAAATACAATCCAGAGTTTCTACGTGTTTTCGTGACTGTCGATGGGACAAGAGAGGTCAAATATACTGTTATGTGTAGACACATGCCATGGGATCTTTATCAAAAAAATATTATTAATTTAAATTAAATTCTTGCTTCGACTGAAACTTGCGCTGACAGAAACTGAAACTTAGAAAGCGCACTACTGCTTTGCTACGGTGACCGGTATTGATTTTGGTTCCCTCTTTTTTTTTGACTAATAAACTATTTTTAATATACTTAAATTCGTTAGCCGTTCGTGAGTCAAACTACACTATGGGCGAACTCAAAGGCTGCGATCGCAATCACAAGTACTCCTATATGATTATTGTTGCTGTTTTGTCCCATCAGTTCAATTTTGTTGTTGCGGAAGTACGAAGAGAAAGGGCTTTTGTTTAGGTGAGTGTTCACCTTTAATTGCAAAGGTAATAATAAAATAAAAATCACATGAGAACTAATGGGACGTTTTTGTAGTTTTGATTTAAGGCAAAGACTATGTATTAATGACATTAACAATTGATCAACACAACCCTAAACCCAGTTCAGAAATAAAAATCGCAATTTATATTGAATAGATAGGTATGGTATTCATCAATATGACAGATTCTCAATCTGATAAACTTTTGAGCCTATTAATTTTATTACTTTAACAAATGTTCAGTTTGTATTATAGAAAACTCCAAACGTGTTCTCCATATCTTTATTGTTAGAACATTTTTTCACTAGCATCATGGTTTGTTTAAGTTTCAGTTATAATGCAAACTAACTACGGTTGTTGGTTTCGAAATAACTAAGTAAAAAGAGTTGCAGTGTGATGACCTAATCAATATTGAAACGTCACTTTCTCAAAATTATTAGCAAAATTAAAATCGTCAATGTTTACACTAGGCATTTTAATATTTTTTTGTTTATTTTCAGCGGCAGAAACTTTTATACAAACGACTTCAATGAGTCTCTCAGCATAAAAATAAGAAAAGAAGAAAATACAACGATCTACATAACATATTTACATTTACAAAACGACTCTTTGCAGTAACACAGGAAATCCATTTCCCCTCGCCTCTCTTCCATTCGTTAGCAGCGCAGATTTACCAGCCTTGACCCAAACCAATACCATGACCCAAACCAATACCATTACCCAAGCCAATACCATGACCCAAGCCAATACCACTACCCAAGCCAATACCATGTCCTAAGCCATAGCTCAAGGATGGAGCAGCGATCGAGGCGTGTGAGATTAGGGGTGCAGCCGCTATTTTTGTTATTGCTGGAGCGGCGTACGAGATGGCTGGAGCATGCGAAATGGCAGGAGCGGCATATGAAATGGCCGGAGCAGCATATGAAATGGCCGGAGCAGCAGCGATCTTGGTAATGGCCGGAGCGGCATAGGAAATTGATGGAGCAGCAAGTGCAGCATGACCATATGAAATGGCTGGAGCGGCTGGCGCCAATGAAATTGCCGGTCCTGAGTGGAGGCCACCCAGAAGAGAGCCACCCAAAAGAGCACCACCATGCGCGCCACTCAAGTATCCTGGTGCAGCTGCGGCGCTACCGATCAAAGCCAAAGCGACAATGACAACCTGTAAAGGATGTCGAAAAGAGCAAACACACATGGATTTATGTAGATTTCACACATTTTCAAATACACACAATTTTCCGATGATGTCAACTCGCGGCGAGTACTCACGTATTTGAACATGTTAGCTGATTTAAAATAGTTTATATGCGATTTCTCTGTGAGCAAATTCGATGGCAACGTGCGCACAACGGATCGTAGCTTAAGAACGCGAAAGACAGTTTGATTCGGTGGTAGCATCGAGCAAACGCTTTTATACTGTTCAAACAAATCTAATTTTTCAATGGAAATACACCGAAACACAACTATGCCGTCTAGTCGCTAAACACATTTAAATTGGGCGGGAAACGGAGTGGCAGCTGTAGTGTTGCAGCAATTGAGCGGCATACAGCGAACGCATATCTGAGCCGAAATTAAAGCCTAAGCTGCTATTGAAGCTGACGCTGGATGTGGACGGACGACAAGCACTTTTACTTTTTTTTGCAAGTCAAAGTGGACCACAGCCGCCTGACTTAGCCGAAAGGCCTGACATGCCAGGCAACACACACACATACACACGAATATGTATATATTCCTTACCGTTAGTAGTGTTGTGAAAATAGTGTGACACAGCGGCCGGGGTTCAGTCATTTGTGAGGCAACGGCCTGTCGTCGGCGTCATTTCGGCTCTCTGTCATTCTGCCCCAGTCGTCGGCGCACAGCCTACGGTATTTGATAGCGCCTAACAGTGGCGACCGGGAGTAACTGCTAACTCCTTCAATGTTGTTGCTATTGTGACATGAAAAACACGGGCTCTTTGTCCAATGCGACAGGTTGCTTGCCATTTTATGAACCAGCTACACCAAGAAGAGATCATTGGCGCTCAAGAAAGAGGTTTGTGTGGCTAGGCAATTAACCGGTCCTCAAGCGAGAATTGCTAAATGATTGGTAGCATTAAAAGTACAAGTATAAGTAAAACTTTTGTGAAAATATGACGCATGCGATCGATTTTCGATCGAGTAGTCAATATTGTTGGATTTCAACGCTTTTGTTCGTGCGTTGCTATATGTTTTTAATTCAATGAAAGGACCGATAAATTGTTGTTTGTTTTTCAAAAGTACCACAATTTACCATAGCATTCAAACTTTATCGCCCTCGAAAGATGCAATCAAGTTTGTGTACTCACTGTAAGGTTATGACTTTAGTCGATTTAGCTACAAATGATTATGAAATAGGGACTTTTTCTTAAATCTCCTATGACTGGTACAAAACAGGGTCACATATTTAATGATTTATTAATTTGGAAAAGTGTTGATTTCAGCTTGTTACAGTAAAATACGTCATAATGTCAAAAAATGTAATATCTTTAAGAAGAGAACTTGAGTAGTAAAAAAAGCTTACTCATAGCAAAACGGTATAACAAATCGCAATAATGAAGGAAGCTGTGTGGTTTGAAAATTTGTAAAAAAAAAAATTTTCCACCTCTTTCGACAGTGTGAAAATATGTGAGTGGAAACCATATAACGGTTTTGTTAAACACTACTAAAAGTACGATAAATCATTAACTAAATGGGTCACTGATATTATATTCAGGATGTCACAATAGGGATTTATGGGAGTAACTTTCAAAATTTGACGCTGGGCGTGCCAAGTCCCTTTTTGGTGAAATCACATATCTCTGGAACTATGCCACCAATTTCAACCAAAATTGATACTTAGGATTAATTTGATAATCTCATGCTAAATTGCGAAAATTAGCAAAATTGCACAAAAACCACGCTTACTTCTCATATAACCTCATCATTTAAAACTCCACATGCTTTTTCTCTTTCCAGTATACATATCAAGCACCAATTATTATATCCGGATAAAACTTTGTACAATTAGTGCTTTTAAGGTATGCCATCTCAGGTCTAAAAATTGTTAAAATCGGACATTAACTATTTAAGCAATTGAATTTTATCGAAAATATTGGTCAATGTGTGAGATATGCCACATACTTGAATTTAGGAGAGAATCCTTTCCTGATAATAGTATGTCAAAAATGGGTTGAATCGGGCCAATATTTCCCTTAGCCCATATACCTAATGGAAAAATCACCCAATTGCCGGCTGACCTTACATCCCACATACACGGTGAGTTAACTTAATTAAATTAAGTGAGCGTGGTTTTCTCCTAACGGTACATCTCTGTACCTAAAATGGATAAAATCGGGCGAAAACTTGCCGCAGCCAAATATAAGTAATATCAGGATTTTTAAACATCCGGTTGACTTTATTCCATATATGCACATATATTGTTGATAGTATGTAAAGTACTTTAATGAAACTGAGAGGACATCAGTTTTTGTTAGTAATATGTAAATTAAAATAGATAAAATTGGAACAATACTACACCTACATAGGTATATCCCATATACCTAATATAAGATATTCAAACTTCCGTTCTGAACGTTGGATATAGTTTAGTTCAATGCCGAAAATTTGTGATATTCCCTATCTATATAAATTCCCATATCTCCAATATAATCAATTCCAATCCACTGGTTAATGTTTTCCACATCAAGTCAATATATTAAATTTATGTTAGCAGATGTATTTCATTTTAGGATGATTTTAATATAAGTTTCGCTGACGGGTTAGCTGAATATTGTTATAAAATTAATTGAGTTCAAATTAATAAAATACCAAATTTGATTGTAATTCGTTAACGATTTCGTCGAATAATGAGTGTTGAATTTTTTCGCAACATTTTTTAAAATAAAGTTTTGCCATACCTGAAGGTATTTCCCCGGAAATGTTCGGTTACACCCGAATTTAGCTCTTCCTTACTTGTTAGAAATAACCTCAGAATTTTTGCATATAAAGTAATCAAGTTTCAATTAAGAAGTTAATATATTATAGCCTTCAAATTAGTTATTCTCGAATGAACACCAACAAGCCAACAGTAAATCGAATTTTCTATACTCTAAGGTTCGGCTGAAATTACATTCGGTTTCCTCAGAAGAGTTTCGTAGCGTTCTCACGAGTGGATATTTAAGTTTCGGTATATAATAATATTTTTTCAAAAAAAATATAAGACGAAACATAATAACCGAGGAAAGTATTATTAACTTTTTCGATGATTACCATATGGTGCTAACATAATAAAGGTGTATGGACCACCTGTATAAAATCAAGTTTTTTCCAAATCGTTAATTTTATTATGCTTAAAAACTTATGCGAATTTCGAAGGACGAATTAATAAATTCGGTAAACCCCTTAATAGATTCTGTGGAAGGCGCGATTTAAATGGATAAACTCCAGGTGAATAATCTACCTTTTGTATAAATTAGCAAAATTCAGAATGTGTCGTAAAATTGCTTATAAAATAAGAACTGAATAATTATTTTTGATCTCGATAAATCAATCATCCAGTCCCATTAGGTCGAGAGACATACGTAGAAACATTGGGTCAGAAATTATGGACTGTTGTTGTCCCGTTACTAAGTAGTAGTAAACTTGATGATACTACCATTCAAAAGTTATGCAATCGTAACGACTAAAGTCATCATCATCGACACATCATGTTTAGGCCACGTGAAATCGAATTCTGATTATCATTTTCATAGTAAGATAGAAGCAGTATCTATCAAACCTTTAAAGTTAGCGTTTGCAGCGATCATTACACTAAGTGGATTAGGTTAGGTTAGGTTATACCGGCTGGATGTCACGCCATACATAGACCTTTGTAATGCCAGATGGAGGTTCAGTTAAATACAAACTAAAGTTTACGTAATAAGAACGTCGACGATTTTGGCGAAGTACTTCCCGGAATGCCCTTCTAGCCTGAAACCCAGTATATCATATTTGCAGCCGCTTTCCGGCAACCGCCACACCTACGACCTCCCTACTTCTATGGATATTCTCTGAGGTAATGCAATGTGACATTTTTGCCTTAATTGCTGCTTTTATACTCTTGCAACCTGTCAGGATCAAAGCCAGGGAAATATCTTCATTTGCATACAGTTTTTTAGAACAAAGAAAATAAATATATGTAGTACTTGTATATGATAGGTTGGGTAATTTGTGAACCAATTTCACATCTTTTCGGCATTGAACTAAAGTATATCCGATATTTTATTTCCAGTAAATTTTGCTTAGGTATCTTACTTATTTGCTGAAATTTGCGATATACTTGTAAAGTCAGCCAGTAGTTCGAAAATCATTCCATTAGGTATATCGGGCTCATAAAATTATTGACCCAATACAACCCATTTTTGACATACAGGCATATTATTATCAGAAAAGGATTCTCTTCGAATTTCTATAACAGATCTCACAGATTGACCGATATTTTCGATAAAATTTTCGCTGTAGGAACTGGGGTCAAGATATTCAATATAAGTATTTGGGGGTGAATAGTTTTAATTTATTTAGATTTAGACAATTTTTAGTAATAAATTTGCCCACCTCAAAGACACTATTCATGCAAAATTTTATTCCTATATATTCATTGGTGCTTGATTTGCATACTGGAAAGTGAAAGAGTCAGATGGACTTTAAAATTGTTTTATATGGGAAGTAGGCGTGGTTGTAGTCCGATTTCATCCGTTTTCGCGCTGAAGCATAAAAATATGACAAGAGTGTTATGTATGTTGAAATCGGTTAAGCAGATGCCAATATATGGGGTTTTACCTAAAAGTGGGTGGTCCTATGCTTACTGTCTAATTTTGAACGCGATTCCTATAAAGTAATCTCATACCATTCTAGAGATACAATTTAACGTCTCTGGTGTGTTTAGTGCTTGAGTTATCGCGCTTTTAGTAGTTTTCACTAGAACCGTAATATGGGGACAAGCCAGGGTTATCATCTGATTTCATCTATTTTTACAGTGTGGACACTGATGCTTAAGGGATTTGTCCTTAGCAAATTTCGTTATTGTGTTTTAAGTAGTTTGGAAAATATATGCATTAAACGTCCCCCTTACAGGACGGGGCAACGGCCGTTTTTAAAAAAAATGTTGGCCCACAGGTGTTCCTTGCTACTGCAATTACAGTTTTATATCTTAATTTAATGGTTAGTTATGGCATATACCTACATAATTGACCTCTCGCCCTGCAAGTGTGAACACCGTGTTTTATATATGTATGTATGTTTACCGCCACTAGTAGAATTACTTTTCTTAAAATTGTTGCATAAACAGCGTTTACAACAAACACAGTGCACTCTTTTACAACGAGCTCTGACACACCCTAATGGGCGGTAACCTTAACGTCGTCGGCG